TATTTGGCATATTCCAAATAGATTCTTCCAAAAAAAAGTGTTGCAATGTAAGGTGCGGAAAAGTGACTATATTCAGAAAAAAAACAACATTAGTAGCTGTAAAAAAAAAAAAAATAAGTAGCTGTAAGAAAGTAAACTGTTCTTTAAAATCTGTAAAGCTGATATAAAAGCTATAATGATGAAATGTGATGTATTAATAAATTCATTTTCTTTCGTTTTATCTGTTGCTGGGTTGCAGGGGATGCATCGATGCCTATGGACTTCTCTCTCCCTTCCCTCTCCTACCCCCAGATATAACAATATAACAATAATTTGAAAGATATATTGATATAAAGAAAAAAAGTAGACAAAGAAAGATTAACAAAACACGGTTAGAGACAAACAACTGCAAACTGAACTTGGGTATATATATTTTTTCACTGACAGGCTGCAGTGTCAGGAGATACATTGCAGTATTTGGTTTTACGTTGTCATGGGTATGATGCAAAAATGAGAAAAAAAAAACATTCCTTATAGTGAGGACTTTTTATATGTTTTACCATTTTAAAAATGGTGGAAACCTTAATTAGTTTTCATCTTACACCCCAGTAACATTCAAGTATTCCACGTATTCAGAATGCAGCGCTCTGATTGGACGCGATATGTTGCATGGTCCGTGTTCACACAAATATGTTCAGTCTAATGGAGGAATAGATATTACAGAAGTATTTGTAATAAGGCAAATATATTGAGATACATATTTGGAAACGGACATTTTTGAATGTTATGAACGCAGGTATTCTTACTAAAGCACTTTGTATTCTCTCCAACACTGACCGTTTGTTCTTTCTGTGTTATTTATAATCATGACCTCGCCATTTTTGAGGCCATAGCCGGTAGCTGTCAAAAATAGTCAAACAGGAGTCAGGCAAAAAAACATAAAAGCAATTTCAATCGAGATTTCTACACGAGTGCCTTTTATGTAACACCTCATATACTCCAGAATGAGTTTGTCTTTGACTCATGCACTTACAACCACCACCACTTATGTGACAACGTGCCAGTAGGAGGATGATATTTTCCTGTTTCTAAATCCAATATCTCTTCTGCTACTGCTGCTGCTTCTTCTGCTCCACTACAGCTGTATGCAAAAATCCTTCTGATGCTCCAACGCCCAAACCGCTCGACTGGGGCCTTGTCAATCTGTGCGCCGCGGTGGGGGAGGGGAGGTCATCGAGGTGAGTCTATATGTTTTATACCATTGCACATTTGTCAGTCAATACATTTCATAAGGAAGACTGAGCTATACTCCTATTATACAGTAGTTTCCATGACTTTTTTGTTGTTGTATTTTTAGCTCAATGTTACCAAATCTTCCAGCCTGCTCTCGCCTTTTGACTAATGATGTAGCAGAGGTGTGGGTTAATTGCAGGGTGAAAGGATGGCGTCAAGGAGCGATATGGTGTGAATTTAGTGAGTATGAAAGACACGTTTTAGTCGAAGCGATTGTTTGTTATGGAGTGGGAAGAGTTGAGGCATTCCAAAATACAACTGTATCCGGAGCCAACAGTACCTATCATAGGCAGTGAAGACAAAAACAGTGTCTTTATGTAGTCCTATGAGTTCATATTGGGTTTATTAATGAGCAAACGTCAACAGAAGATGTGTTGCATTGAAAATATCAGGCTGAGATATGTGTCAGTATTGGAAAGAGTTGTGTGTAATTACAGAACCATACCAGCGCTTTAGAAAGGTTTTTTTTCCGTAAACCAGGATTTCTTTTCATTCATTAATTTGACCAGAAAAATGTGCTTTCATAAGTTTGTCAAATGTTTGCAAACTGCACACATAGCACACATGCATAGATATATACATACACAGCCATATTTAGCAGGTTACCCAATGTATTTTGATGTATTTACAAACATATTTACAACTTTATATGTACAATTTATCAGCTCGAAATGGAGTGGGAAAAAGAAAAAAACTGAGCTTTTGACTCAAAATTCCGACTGAGAAGATCAAACCAGTGTATCTTCAAACCGCTCTTTTCTGGGTCAAGGTAAGTTGGCTAAAAACCAGGCACTACACAAACTGAGGCTCTAAATAAGGCTATACAAGCTCTAAATGAGAATGAACACAGAAAAGTATATAAATGTGCAATAAAATGTTTCTAAATGCAATAATGTCTTTGAGTGTGTTCCACAGATAGAGAAACAATGTGAAAGGCTGCTTGATCCCCCATGTTTTTTTGCTGTAAATGAGTATTATGCATAAGTGTTCTCCTTACTGCCCCAGTGTCAGTATTTCTGTCTCTGTCCACAAGTCGATGCATGCAGCGTGTGACATTTCTCAGATAAGAGTGAAGGAGCTGCGTTTTACTGATGCACACTTCACCGGTCAAGTGGATCAACATTATTGATACAAACTCCTCAGACGACGAGGCATTCTATAAGGAACTATATGTTTTATCTGCAGAGGGGCGGTGCCAGCGGTGGGCTTCTACAGAGGAACTACTGATTGAGTTTCCAGTATATTTGAATTAAAAAAAGATAATCACAAATTAAAATTAAAATAACTCGACTAGTGCGGAATGATTTTTAGTTTACAATTCTGAATGAAAAAACTCAATTCATGACCACATAATATAATGTAATACAATAACTAATTGATAAACTCTTTACAATAATAATAAGAATAATGATGATAATGATAATAACAACAATAATTATGATAATAATAATGATGACAATTGGTCTATATTACTTTTATTATTAAAATGATAAATATTTGTGTATTGTGTGTGTTGAAGTCAACTACTATTTTTCATCTGTAAAAAAAAACCCTTGGCCTATACTGCATGTAGGCTACAGCCTGTGATATAGGCCTAGTGCCTCCCCAGCGAGGGGCCCCTTGCATTCAAATCAGCGGCCAGCTCCCTGATCGCGGAGGACAGCTTATAGGCCCCTTGAATTGTTCCGATGTAACAATGGCAGCCTTTGTCAATGTGTTTCTCTTTCTCAGCGCTGACAATGCAAGAGGGCACTTCTGGATCTCTGCACTTAAGACATGTTTGTAAAATTACATCACTTATAGCCTCTTCAAGCAGCAGTTTCCAAGTAGCAGTTTTTGCGCATTCATTTGGCATTGGTTAAAACGAGAGAGAGAGAGAAGGGGAGAGAGTAAATGGCCACCATTCCTGGCACTATATCGTGTATGACAACGTTGCACGTGTAATGGAAAGGCTGGCCGCTTAAAGCTCGTTTAAAGCTCGCTCCATACAGACCTAATGTCCCCGCACACAGTGACCCTTCTTCCGTTGGCTCTTGCGCCTGTGAGCTAAACTGTATTTTTTATTCACTATTATTAATAATACTAATAGATTAAGCTTATCTATCTTACTTAGCCCGTATTCATGTTTATTAGGACAAGCCGTTATATTTTATTTCGCTTTATCCTGTCGCTGTTTCTGAATGTTATATTCAAAGTGTTAGAGAAACCAGATGACTGCTGTCAGAAGATAAACACTGGTATCCTACCAGTGAACTTCCCTCCAAAGCTCGCAGACCCCGCTATAGTGGAGAAAACTCTGCGTAGATCTATGGTCCAGGGGCCATAGCGCGTACCACTGGGGCCGACTCTGCTCCATCTTTTGTTGGCGGCTATTGTGGGGACCGCGTGTTGGGATTGGGGGTGTAATGAGGAGGCTGCGACCCCCCGATGGGGGTGCATTTGCTGTCCAAAGACCGTTAGACAGCGGCTGAATGAATGGGGCCTGGGTGTCATTGTAATGCACATGGACAACTCCCCCTTCATTGAGCCTCAGAAGCGGAGGCCGCTGCAGAGACGCAGAGCAGCAGCGGCCAGCGGGCTTTGGGCTCAGGACTGTGTTTGCAGCTCACACCACGAGGCCGGAAAGACAGCACGGAGTGAACCTGATGGATCAAAAACCCGCAATACTGCGGGGACACGCACCGAGCTCGTCCAACACGGGACAAGGATTTACGCGTAGGTTGGTCTCATTGAAACATGGCCATGGACGAGGCTCACCTCTGGGCAGGTGGCCTGTAGCTGCATTAGCCACTCCACTGCGTATTTAGCATTAGAAGCCCAGATCTGTGACTTACTGATTGTAAGCCTAATGCAAGTGTTGAAATGTAGATTACTGTGGTTAGACAATTGGGACAGTTAATAAGTGCATTGGATGAGAGAAAGAGCGCATTTGCGATTCTAAAGGCGACATTAGGCGCACGGGGACCAGCGTTTCCTCTTCAACAGCGCTCCCCCTTTGTCCACTCAACAGTGGGAGGCAGCGACCAAAAACTCCTCCAGGACACATGCCCCTATCGCAAAAAAGGAAAGCAAAGGGTTTTGCTGTGTTGTTTAGTGATAACATCTAAATTGGAAAGCATATAAACACACGATCATTAAAACAGCTTGTAACAAAACATAGGCCTGTAATCATTCAAGAGCAGATTATAGGGCAATAGTGTGTGGTCCAGCTAAAAGTGCGTGGATTGATTTTATTCTGCTACATAGCCTAAGAGACTACAGCCTCTATTGACTTGCACATTGTACTGTGCGCTGCAGGAGTCAGTGTTTGAAACACAGGCCTCTGCAGGAGGAATCATAGTTGATGCAGTGAGAGAGCGATAGTCTTACAGAACATCATCTCTCAATTTCCAAATCATGACTTTCCAGATCAAAGAACATTGCATATAACTTCCTGGACGATTCTGGCGCGTGTAAAAAGTAGAAGTAAGTGCAAGTGACTTCCCAGTGCAGCAAGTGCAGCAAAGGGCCCCTCCTTAAATGTTGTTCCTTGTTGCCACATGCATCCTATATTGGCTTTGCTGATCGCTCACCACTACAGCTTTATCTGTCGTGGCCTGTGTCTGTTTCTGCATGTGCGCCTGACGCGCTGCAGAAAGTCAGGCAGTCGGTTTCAAGGACATTCAGGGCTGATGAGGATTTAGTTTTAATGGGGGTATAGGGAAAGAGGGGGGCTTGTGCCATGGGCCATGACGTCACGATACGTCCATGTAATCCTCTTGCGTCGAAGCCCAATCAGCGGAGACTCGGAATTGTCTGGGATGGGAGGAGAGGGCGCTCTAATCCTGGAGACAGTGGATCACAACCGAGAGAAAGAGCGCGCGAGGGCACGCGGCCAGCACCGGATTGTGCCTGAAATGGGTCAGAATAAAACGCAAAGCAAAGGAACCGAGAGCTTCGAAACGGGACATTGCTCTGAAGTCAAGAGGATTTTGTTCAACTTCCCATATAGGCTCCATGAGAGCAGAGTGAGAGCGAGCTCCGTGGCCAATGGAAGAAGCAGATAGCCTTATGTAAAAGCCACAGTTTGTGTATCTTCTCAGATGCACGAGAGAGAGGAGGGCGTTGATCTTCACTGGAGGAGCTGAAGCCAATGGACTATAACACGGAGTGGATGTACCCTGCTGCTCTTCGGCTTTATTGGGTTAGAAGGAGAGCGGACTCTACTCTGCTGATGGTGGTACTTGTATCGTGATTTATACCACACCAGAAGCTTATATCGTTTCAGTGCATTTTGTGTCTTACAGGCAAGATGGTGTGTTCTGAAGTGAAATGGCATGATTTCTAACTCTTGTTTAAAGGAGCTGTGATTGTGCTGCCGTTGTACGCAGAGCTGTGGCGCAGTCATATCAATATCTTAACATTGAGTAGGACCGTGTGCCCGCGCGTTTAGTGCTGTGCAGGCGATAAATCTGCTTCCAAGTGCGTGTGTCTCTGTGTGTGTGTCTCTGTGTGTGTGTACGTGTGTGCATTGGACGTGCTAGAAATCCGATTTAGAGCTTTGTATTTGTGTTGCATGTCGCAAATACAGGCTGTAAGTCGATGCGCGATGTGCTCAGAAGAAGAATTGTGCGTGCGTAAGTCACGCGAGGTTAATGTCTCTGCACCTGCGGGCGAGGTGACAGGGCGCCTTTTGGACGGGTGTCACTCTGCGTGTTCACAGCGGACCTTGATTTAATGTCCATACAATTAAGGCACGCGGTGAATGCCAAGAGAGGTCTCTACACTGCTTCGGTGCCCATGGAGCCGGGCGTAATGTCCTGTCCTGTGGGTCAGAGGGATCTTGGTGCTGGACGCATATCACGCATAGACGCACTTTCTTTAAAGTGTAATGTCAGCTGTGTGAGCTCCCGTTGGAGCGTCTGTTTTGACCCATTGTGTGCTTGTTGGAGTAGCAGCCATCTGACAGAGCTGGTATGGGACTTCAGGCCTTAGAAGGCAAAAGTCCTCCTCACACTGCATGGTGTCAGGCGTCTACTGATACTTGCGGATTAAGGACTAGTGTAAACAAATATCCAATAACACAACAAGGTGGATTCTCAAAGGAAAAGCGACACTGCAGCTGTGGCGTTTTACTCCATATTATAGTCAAATAAAGCCATCGGTCAACTGCGTAGATGACTCCTAACATAACTGGTTTAAGCCTCTTATAGAGGATGCGGATAGTGCCCCCTATTGGATAGGGACATACAAATCCGCTTGTCAAATAACGTTATCAAAAGCATAAATGTTTATGTACACTTCAATACTGATCAGCATGCACTACCAGATGCCTGATACTTAAAAATCTATCTATTTGGGGAATGATAGGACGATATATGACGACCATTTGGCTCATCAGGAAATTTTTAGGCAGTAAAATGCAATCATTACATTGAAAATCCACGAGTTAAAGCATGATTTTAAGTGATGTTTCTATTCATTTCAAGGGGTGTATAATTCGCAATACCAAAAAAGATATAAATTGGCTCAATTATTAAGCTACTTTTTGTCAAAATGTTACAAGAAAAATGCATGTTGTACTTGGAACTCGCTTTTGACATGAGGTTAATGTTTGTGATAAACTCTGTAAAAATGTCATCAAATAAAGCATATCTGTTTCAAATGGTTTCTTATGGATTTTCTGAACACACAACAGTTAACCCCTAATCAACAATTGCATCCAGTTTTTCCTTTTGGTCAAATGTACAGTTTTGGTCAGGTTCTTAGATCAGCACCCTGGAGAGCTCCGCACACTGAAACACAACAGTCCTCGTGTGTAAGTGTGTTGCTTTGCTCTCCCCATTTGACAAATTCTCCTTTAACCTTGGAAGCGTTAGACACCAGAAAGAAGTAACTCAGCACTGTAATCTTTCCAGTGACATTTAAACCCTGGGACTGCCCCGCGGAGCTCTCTTTAAGGTCATTGCATTTGAACCCACTAACACAATTCACAACATCAAGACAAGGTAATTGCTGAATGGACAGTTTATTAAGGCTCGATTTCCTTTAGAAAGAAAAACCAAGATAGATCTTTTTTTAACAGGCTATTATGCACAACTGTGGTCTATAAGATATTCAATGTTTATTTAATATTTCTTGTCCTTCACGTAGTGTAGATACATAGATTTTATGGCTAAATCTTTTACATCCTGTCTCTGTTACATCATACATCTTCAGACAATTCCCAGAGCCTTTCCATGCACTCGAATCCAGCTTTTCCTGAGGGCAACGCAATCCGGTCCTGCCTTTCACCTTGTCAAAAATATGAAGGGCATATTGCTTGGCTCAAACCTAGCTAGTGATAATTAGAGCAGGAAAAGAAAAAGAAAAATGACTGATGATGTGTTAAAAGACTTCAGTACAAATCAATGACATACTGGCCTGGTAGAACACATTGATGTTTCACACATGGCTAATATTATAATGGGGTTAACATAGAAAGTTTGCAACTGGTAGATCGTAGAAATGTTAAGAAACCAGCTTATTCTATCCACAGAAGTACCACTGTGCTTTCAAAAGAACATGATGCAACATAAACAAACAGGACGTCTCAGAATACTTGGCTAACAAGATTTGCAGAATTCTTGATATTATGGGAACATTTACCACTTATAAAATACTGAATTATTAATCAGAACCAATAAAAAGTGACAAACCTAACATCACCGCGACCCGATGTCAATTTTCATGTGTTATTTCAAGATTATTCTAATATGTGAGGTGCAGATTAACATAAACTGAACATTTCTAAAGTATTCATAATGGTATTGGTTCATAATGGTTTCGGCTAAGCAATACCCAAGAAACACACAGAATCCACTTGTCATTCGTAATTTTTCTTACTTGATAGTAAATCAGTTACATTAATTTTTAGGTTATACATCTTTAGGCTTCCTCCATGAATATATCTGTATATATACTCCTACGTTAAAGCTTAGCATTATGACCAACATGAAAGACTCATCAAAACCAAATGTAGGTGGGGAGGGGCAAGAACAAAGGATTAAGACAGAATGATGGTGAATGAACAAATATTTCAACCCTCCCCCCTTCCGTGAAACAAAACACCATAGAAACAATTCATTCAACGTAGCCGCAATATTGTTACATAATGTTAATATTAAAACAATTTAAAATGGATGAACAATCTGTGACTGGGCTGTGGTAAGATGAACCTCCCAATCGTACAAACATCTCAAAGACAATCATCAACAGAAAGCAACGCCATGGGGTGCAGAATATGTCAAATGTACAATTTCTGGTTTAAATGAGTTCGGGTTGTCGAGGGCACATCATTTATTACTTTCCCAGAGGCCTTTGCTTTTCCCCTCTGAAATGTCTCAAGTCCTGTGTGACTTCACACTATCCCTGATTTCTCCAGCAATGTCACTGTTAAAGCAGTTATTTTTGAAGAGTCACCAATAATTAGAAAAAAAAAATTAAGGCTCCAGAAAACAGATTTCTGAAATTAAAATTGTCAGTAGTAAGCCAAAAAATATAGATTCTGTTGATCTGAATGAAAAATAGATAAACCCTTGAAGTTTTAATATCGCTCAGTTCCAAGTCCGACATTGCCTTTGGGATCCGCTTACCCTGTTGGCACAAATTCTGAAACATGGCAATGGTGCCCCCTCGTGGATACAAGGGGCAGGACGCATCCCTTCCTGATTGTATTGTAATATAAAGTGGCAGATTTGTATCTGTGGTGCAGTCAAACCCTGATTTGATTGACTTTGAGGGAATAAGTAGAGGAGATGGGACCAGTCCATGAGAGAAGACAAGATGGTAAAACAGGAGAAAAACAAGTGTGGTGGTGGTGACCAAGTGACACATTAAATTTTGTTCTCCCTGCACAAGAAATGGATTGCAAATGGGGCAAAGAAGCAGAAGTTTCAATAATTTTGGCGGAGATTTGCCAGGATAAAAAAGAAGGGTTGTGTTGCATTTTCATCTTCAATCTCTTAAATCAAAAGTTCTAGAGTAACTGCTGATCAAGCCAAGGATAAATGTGTTCTATTGTTTGTTCCGGTTTTGGCGTTCCTGTTGGAAACAGATACAAATTTAAAGACACTCAAGAGTAGAGAACTTGATATAATTAGCTTTTAATTAAGTGCATAAAAAAATTCTTACCTGATCCAATCGAGAGCGGTTCTGTATTTGAGGCGGTTCAAAAGTCTGTCACCAGAAGAGAAAAGACATGATTATCAAAGAAAGGGAAGCATAGGTAAGATACCTATGCTATTAGAAGATGTGTACCTTGTGCACCTCTTCCTCCTCCTCCTGTCTTTTCTCATAGTGGGAGAAGTCATCAAAGATGGAGGTGGTGTGTTTGTACTGCGCGATGATCTTCAGCACCTGCTTGGCCTTCTCCAGAGGAACCTCCTGAGTGTCGCGGGAGTTTGTCACAGGTTTGTTGTCGTTGTTTTCCAGGCGAATGTGGCGCAGCTGGCTGTTAGGCACATCTTTAACAAACAACCAGTCCACATCAAACTTTCCCTTCCACTTGTCTTGTGCCCAAACACCGGCGCTGGTGCCATAGTCCACTGGTGAGCGCATCTCTGCCACACCACAGAAATGGCCGCTGCCGTTGACACTGAACAGCAGATAGACTGGGCCTTTTCCATTTATGGCTCTGAACGCTGCGTCCAAGCGTTTGTTGCCGTGCTCCGTGCTGCACCATATGGAATACTTGATGGACCGATGGATATCGTCCTCAGAGTAACTCTTAATAATGAAAACACGGCCGTTCTTCAAATTCCACTCGAACTCCTTGGGGTTGTAGCTATGAGAGGCACGCAGTTTGTCCAGCACTGGATGGGACTCTCCACCCGGACCCTGGCTTACTAAATTCTGAGGGCCACCATTTCCTCCCACAATTCCCATAATACTGCCATCCTGGCCGGGACTGCCCTGTCCATAGCCCTGATTTCGGTTGCGTGGGGCGACCCAGCGGGTTTGGGCCTGTGGAGGCTGGCCGTGGTTCTGATACGGCTGTTGTGGGGGAAGGTGGTGAGGCTGGGGTTGTAAGGCCATTTGCTGCATCTGGGATTGTACCAGAGACTGTTGAGGGTGTTGCAGTTGACCCTGTTGCATGTGTGGACCCTGGGGTTGGAGACCATGGGGCAGGCCAAGAGGCTGCTGCTGCATTGGAGCTGTAGCTACTTTAGTCACTGGACCCTTGTCCCAGGTTCCTATGTTCATGTTGTGTTTGATGGGAGGGGGAGGAAGAGCACACCCTGGATTGGGCATCCCTGATTTGACTTTAGACTTCAGCTGCTGGGGCTTGGCCGGCTTACTGGCGATAGCTGCCCAGGAGGTGGGTTTGGGCGGCGGCATGCCGATGGGTGTGGCTCCGTTGCCCGTAGCAGCAACAGCTTGTCCTCCAATCACAGAGCCCACTGCTTTCACCCCTGAGCCCTGACCTGTCATGTCTCCGCCGATCTTCAGCCCCACCATGCCCTGCTCCAGACTGTTCATGCCAGGGGCCTTGTTGAGGGTATCGCTATGAAAGCCTGTCTGCCCATCAGGCACTAAGGTGCCCCCTAGTGAACTTGGGGGATAACTGTAGCTGCCACCATATGCTGAGCTTTGAGTCTGCTGCCCTTGGGAACCACTAGTGCCCCACGCAGAGAAAGCAGGGTTTTCAGGAAAAAAATTAAACCTATGGGGATAGATGTTGCTGCCCAATCCCCCAGGCTGTCCAAAGACATTGTCAGGCATAAAGTGATGGTCTCCGTTACTCAGTGGTCCATAGGGAGTGAGGTAAGGAATTGGAGGGTCCCCACCAGTAGACCAAGGTGCTTCACTGAGGGGGTATGGAAATCCGATAGAGGGCGCGTAGTAGCTGGACAGGTAAGGGTCTGTGATGGACTGATAGCTGTTGTTCTAGATGTCAAAGAAAAATGATTTTAAAATAGAAAACATTTGAACATGTTCATAATAGAAAGAGATACGATACCTGAGTTGATTGCCCAGGATTAAGATATGGCTCGAAGTCATTGTCGTGGACAGTTTCCTTCTGATGCAATGAACCATTTTGCACTGAGAAGACACAACATTCATAGTAAGGGAAGTCCCTAAGCAAGTGTTTTCAAAACAGAGTACTTTATTTTATGTGCATACAGTTTTCACAAACCTTATAATACTGTGGTTAAATGTTAATTATTTTTGACACTTTTCAGACGTTTCTATCCAGTTTTTAAACATGTCACTATGGCACAGGTAACAAGAAGTGAAGGTTGTAGTAGACCACAAATTCATGAGGATTTTAGTTTGTAAAAATATCTATGTAAAGTTTTGTTAACCTGTTGGTTGTGCAACGGACAAAAGGTGGAGTTTTAATCTTTTACCTGAAACGTTAGAAGTGATAGAAGTTTACTTAAATCAATTAAAAAATAGTGAGTTGCCAGGTTGCTGTCTAAAAAGTGTCCTGGATTCCAAATCGTATGTGGCAATTCTGTCTAATAATGTGTGCACAATGTTTACTTTCATTTACAAACTACATGAGTATTATGAGTATTATTGGTATAATGTGATGAAGAGTTTAATGAGTTCCCTCCCCACTGACTCATTGGGGAAAAATGTATGCGTTTCTACTGTGACCATAATAGTTGGTATAAAACAGTGCAATGACACACCTTATAATTAAGTGGATTACCTTATCTCTATACTAATACATCATGATCATTCTAAAAAAATGTGTGTTTTTATCAGTGAATAAACAGTGAAACAGCCATCTAACTAATTGAACTAAGGAACTCATGCTATAAATAGAAAAGGCCATCTGCAAACACACTGATGATCATGTGCTATGAAACAAGGATGAGTCCATTTTAACTTACCTTTAGACGCTTGCCCCTTTGATCTCTGAATCAAATCGGATCATACAAAAAAAAAAGAAATATACGTAAGATATAACATTTTTTTCCCAGCAACACTCAGAGGCGTAATACATGTAGTTCATTTAGTTAGTGCAGAGAAGCGAAATTAATTAACTTTACAGTGAATGTACAGTGAATCTGGCCTGAAACACAAATCCTTGCTAATAAATCCGGCATTAAAAGTAAACAAATAAACATCAGACTGTGATAAATTGCACATCCTGACAATCGTTTCGTTGCAGTCAAAATTACGTAATTTAATGTTTTTTGCCTGTTGTCTTGTATTCTAGCATTAGCTTTTGGGTCTCAAGAGCTGGTAGATTCGAATAAGACAGAAATACTGCCATCTTATATATTTTGACAGTAACGCAAATTATAAAAAGTAATCCCAGGAGTCGGCATTTTAATACTATTTGTTAAAATTATGCGACCAGTTTCGGGGGCTAGTAACGTTAGCACTTCAGAGGAATAGCATTAGCCCTGTGCATGTTAGCATAGTTAGCCTCGTTAGCATAGTTAGCCTCGTTAGCATAGTTAGCCTCGTTAGCATAGTTAGCCTCGTTAGCATAGTTAGCCTCGTTAGCATAGTTAGCCTCGTTAGCATAGTTAGCCTCGTTAGCATAGTTAGCCCTTAGCTAGCGGCAGTGGATTTCCAGCTCATCTCGTCTACACCAGCCTTCCTACCTGAGGGTCAATGCTCGTGGTAGACATAATTCATTAAGCAAGTCCTTGGATTCGCTCAGAGTCCGGGCGTGTGACTGTATTTCTAGCCCCGTGAAAGCAAAGAAACTTCACAGCAGTAAGTTAGCACCCGATGCTAATGTGGCTAGTTATGCCGCTAAGCGTAAAGGCTCGTAGTCGTAGCGCAGGCTCAGCTGTGTATTTTCCGATGAATCCAACTTCTTCACTTCAGTCTTTCGCTTCGTATCAGGAGATCGGGTGAGTCTTTGTGGAGGCGCTTGAGTTCGGCTTGTGTATGTCCTGATGAACCTGTTGTATATCCTTGCTTTCGGCGCCTTTGATCGCCTGATACTTGTCTTTTTTTATTCCTCAGAGCCCTCCTCAGACAGTCGCGTTAAAGCCCCGTGCACTTCCCCAATGGCCGCTCGCTCCATCCGGGCTTTACTCTGCTGTAGTTTGCCCCGATCACCGCAGGGTGGCAAGGGTTGACGCTCTACTGTTGCACCAGCCTCTTCTTGGTGTGTTGTTTTTTCAGCAGGGCCAAATCCAGATAAGCGTGTGTCCTGTATGGATGCTTGCAAAGTCAACGTGCCACGCAATGTGTAACTACATGAGTCCAACTGCGACTCTGAGGAGCATAGGGACCATGGCCTCCTGCTGGTGCCCATAGTCAGGACCAAATAATGGTAAGCAGCGTTTTAGATTTATGCAGCTAAAATTTGAGAAATGCTCCTACTCTGACAATGTTCAAATCCGGGTTAGGCACAGTTCTGTTTAGCTGTGCATACAACTGAAGGACTGTATCTTCACAATTATAGTTTTATGAATGATTCTACTGCCTTGTGTGATATTACTGTTTCTTTTCTTGTCTTGTGTACAAACTGTGCAATACAAATATACCTTGCCTGCGTTGAGAAACTTGTTTATTAAGCATGTGATGTCTTCTCCATCTGATGTTTTCGCTGTTGTCATTCATCAACATCTTTCAGTTAGAGCTGATGCCTAACTTATTTTTACATCATTAATAATACATGGTCTGACTGACTCTTGATCCAATAGGAAAGTCTTGTAAACGAAAACATGTTGTGACTTTGAAGAAATCAGACCAAAACATGCTTTAACACTAATATTTCAGCCCTTCAAGTTAGTATTTGACGCATTGGGCTGGATTCTCTCTTTTTCACTTCTCAATAACAAAAAATTAAGAGCAAGAGTAATTGAAAGTTTTTAGTGCATTATAGATTATAGTTCACGTGCACTGAACCGTTGTATTTGTGAGCATGACAAATACTGACTCCTGGAACAACAAATCTATGTGTGATGAGTATGAGTGTGAGCTTATTATGAAGGTTTGTGTAGAAACATCAGGAGAAATGAGGGCTGGGTATGTTTTATTGTAACTTGCATGTTATATGTTGTATTTTTTATTTCGAGCAATATAACATTGTAAACTCTGTCTGATATTATATCCAATGTGTGGTCATGTATCCATCTGTTTTTGTTTTACTCTTTTACAACAACCTGCTCAGGGACTACAGGGTAAACCAGAACCCTGTAAATTAGTGCTCTTTCAATGCATCTTTTATTTTATCTAATGTACAATGTCCTTATGAAAAATTATCATATACTGTATTTTCTTCAGTTCGTTATCTCTGTAGTTTCCATTTCACACCACTAGATGGCAGCATTATCAGCCACATCAAACCAAAGCCTGTTTTGCATACCGACACACTGTTGTAAATGCATGCTTTACTACAGTTCAACCTATTGCTTTACTACAATAGGTTGAGTATAGACATCCGATTTCCCCATTTAAGAAGAGCTCACCATTATATCTCCTTAATTGCATTCAACTGCTTTAAAGAGTAGCCATTTTTTCCAGAAATATAGCTCCCAAAGGAAAAAAGCTTTGAGACCACTGACCTACAATATCAACGTTTTGTATTTAAACAACAAATTGTCTTTTTACTTTTGAATATTTATTTTATTTAATCATATTTTCGTGCTCTGGCTTAAATCATAATTCTAGTAAACATTGAAGAGCAAACCAAACAAGCTTAATTGGGTTATTTTCAAACTGGGATTTGTCAAGGGCGGAGCTACATTCTGTGTGCTGGTGTCATTCATGTAAAAGATGAATAGGCTTGTCTTTCTGGCATGTAGCAGCTGTTCTGGAAGGTAGCCTGTAGATCACTGTCCTAGCACCACATCACCCATACATTCTACAACAACATATCAGTAGTTGTGATGTGCTACACTCAACAAGGACTCCATTATGGGCCGCAAGACGGATGACTGGCAGAGGAGAAACTGGAATACAACCCCCTATATTTCCCAAAGTTATGGATAACAGAAGGACGATGTTGCATTTACTTGAGGAGCCTCTGATGAGAAGGGAAATAGATCGACTTCAGACTTTCCAAAGTTGGTCATCAGAGGCCCCTGTTGCTTCTACAGACCTGGCCAAGGCTGGGTTTTTCTTCATTGGACCCAGAGATAAAGTTCGGTGCTTTTGCTGCGGAGGTGTTTTGAGATGTTGGGTGCATGGGGACAGTCCGGTCACAGAGCACAAAAGACATTTCCCCACCTGTAAGTTCATTTCGGGGCGAACTGTGGGTAATATTCCACTACAGGATGGTTCATCAGACTCAGTTGATGGGCAGCTCTTGAGCCAACTCCAGAGGATGACCATGGACGACCAGGGCACCAGTGGGCAGGCAGTGTACCCCGAGATGGAGGCTGAAGACACGCGACTCACCACCTTCCATAACTGGCCCACGGAGGCATCAGTGCAGCCAGATATCCTGGCAAGAGCAGGATTTTTCTTCACAGGTTAAATATTCGGTCTTGTATACAGTATCTTTTGAACAAATGTAATCGAAATAATATACCAATCAGAATTGACTTTGAAGAGAATATGAGAGTAATGATGTGTTTCAGAAAGTACATGTTTCCTCTCTCCTAGCTGTTGCCAGAGAGAACTGTCTTTGTTTGTGTGTGCGTGTGTTGTTCTGCTGAGTCATGAGGTCAGGGGCAGAATGACCCAGGCAGAGCTGGATGCAAACATGTGACTGAAACAAAATGTGTATATTGTAAAACACTGAAAAAAATCTTTGATGTTTTATTAGGGCATGGGGACAATGTCAAGTGTTTCTTCTGCGATGGTGGGCTGAGAAACTGGGAGCCCGGAGATGACCCTTGGCAGGAGCATGCCAAATGGTTTCCAAGGCAAGTTAGACCTTTCACTAAGAACCACTTAAACCCTTCTCTGGTAAATGTCACCATGTTAAGTCATTATTATGTTTCCTCAGGTGTGAGTTTTTGATCCAGTCCAGAGGGCAGGGCTATATCAGTAACATCCAGGAGGCCCACTTCCACCTTGGGGAAACTGTGGTGAGTTTTTGGGATTTAGATCATGTGCCTTTCACTCTTTCTGTTGGTCCGTTAAGCGCAGCCTTTGTTTTTGTCAGAGCGGATCTCAAACTCCATCCACCCGAGACTTTGGCTCCAGGAATGGTAAGTAAAAGAAATACATAATCTAATTTAAACAGGTTTATTTCGCTTTATTTTTGAGTGATACCTGAGCAATCAGCTGGACCTCAAAGTTATTAGATTAACTTTTCATAACGCTGATGGAACTTATTGTCTTAGTCAGGAAATGTGTTAATTTTACACATTCATGAATGCATCTGTGGCAGGAACAGGTGTCTGCATCCAGGGTCACATATAACACCTGATGTTTTTGGGGTTATTTTAAGAGTTCTAGTTAAATAATTATTATAATGCTAAACCCTATCGCACACTATGTAATTTTAGCTCAAACAAATACTGTAGTTTTGTGAGAATATCTGGGTCTGAATGACTGCATTTCTTTTCCCAGATGTGGTCGGTGGACTGGGAGCCTCCTCCATTATGCTGTCTCCTGTGGTACAGACAGTTCTTCAGATGGGATTCGAGGCCAACCTTGTGGAAAGTCTGGTTAAAACAAAGTACCTCCTGACTGGACAGTTCTATACTTCAGTGTCTGATTTAGTCACGGATGTGCTTCAGGCAGAAGAAGAGGACAGGCAGAGGGGACCCACCAGCAGAGGTAAGATATGACTTATATTTTGCACCAGGCACAAGGAGGATTGCCCCTAATGTCACAACTATTTGACCTTTTAGAGCCAGAGGTGAGACAAGGTACGAGTTCTGCAAGTACAAGACCTCCAACAGCCTTCAAAGAGAGAGGTACATTCCACAGTAACATAAATAAACATTATTACGTTCAATATCTGAGGATGAGCTAAGCTCTTGTTGGTCTTTTTTTGGCCACATTGACTGTACTTTAATTTCCTGGATACAAAATCATAAGGCAGTACAGTGACTGTGTGGGTATAAAGTAAATTCAAGTAAACGTAAAGGTGCACTTTATTTATGTATAGCACTTACATCTCAAAATTAAGAAGATTAGTACGCTTGTCCTTAACCGGAATAATAACCACTAAAGCCTTGTTTAAAGCAACATTTGACTGATAAACCATGTTGTTGATTAGAGAGATATGGATTTATAGTGTCTGATGTTAAATAATAATGTTTTGTGTTCTGCCCACAGTGAAGGAGCCCAGCCCTGAGGAGCTCCTGAAGCAGCTGCAGGAGGAGCGCACCTGTAAGGTGTGCATGGACAAACTGGTGTCCATCGTGTTCATCCCGTGTGGTCACCTGGTGGTGTGTGCAGACTGCGCCTCCAGCCTGCGGCACTGTCCCATCTGCAGAGCTGTGATCAGAGGCAGTGTGCGTGCTTTCATGTCCTGAAGAGACCTCCAGCCTTTTTCTGCTGTGTGCTGTTTTTACATCCTCCTGTTTGATCCTGAATAAACCTATTATTTCATCTCCTTATGGTTGGTTTTCTGAGTGTTTTTGAGCAGTCTCTGGTGAAACCAAATGTAAATGTTTTAATAGATTGCAATGTAAATATGATTACAAATCACTTTATTTTATTAACAAACATGTATTTACAAAAAGCACAATACAATAACACACAAACAGGTTTGATCAGACAGCAGATATGAACAGAGATACAAACATGTTTGTCTTCATATTTATAAAGAACACATCATTATCTAAAAGAGGTGGGGTTGGTTTGTGAAGTCACACATTCACAATCTACTATCTCAGTCTCTGGAAGGCTCTATCAAGAGGAAGACTGGGCTGATACATGAACATGAGGTGCTTTGTGATGGATTATATTTCTTTGCTTTAAAATGCTACAGAAAACCACCACAGAGTTTATAAAGAGGTTGCTCACAAACAGACAATATGAATGATCATAGTAATAATTGTTAAATATGCAGAGCACTGATAACCTACTGCAACTACATTTTTGTGCAATAGAACACTCAGTCTCATTTAACATATTAATAAGGTCATTTCAAAGCAGTGTGGGATGTGAACACCCTCACTTCCAACACCAGAGGGCAGCAACAGTGAGAGAAATGTAGAAACAAAGTTAAAACGAACTGAAAAGTGCAGAGTTCTAACAGTTTGTTGAGCCATTGTCACAATGGTTCAACAGTCCTATTTTGTGCATGATATTTTCAGACAATATGGCCATGTTTTTGTGGGATCATGATTATTTATTTATTTGCAAGCACTATACTCTCTTTTGAATCTCCTTTTGATACAAAATGCCAACTTTCGTGCATTAAAATGATCAAAAGACACCATCCTATACAATACTGACAGCTGAAGTGTACTATAGAGACAAATATCGGCTCATAAGATACAATAAAATATCTTTCAAGTTAAAAATAAGCTGCTACGTAACCTTTTTTTTCAGAAGTCGATGGAAAAACAAATCTGCCTTGAACTGAATCCTCTGAAATACTGGCTGTTTGAGGTTTCCATAAATAACACATGCCGCTCTTATTTGGACTCCTTTGCGTTCATCGAAAACCGTCTCCTTCTCTTGCTTCCTTATTTACAACTTGTTTTCCACAGACGTTTGGTTATTTGGTATTTGCATGTCCCCTTCTTGTTGAGCCCGTTCCCTTTTATTTTGAACTATGAGACACGGAATGACCAAACAGAAGGCTTCAGAGTAAACTCACGGATGTCGTCCAAAATGTCTTCCAAAAATGGGACAGAAAACATTAGAATCATGAATTGAAGGAACAAGAAAGTATCATATGGAGAGCCCAAGCTGGATGTTCGGGAAAACTTGATGCACCACGTCCTTGGTCTATTTTTATTTACGTAGACCTGGAAGATAAAGAGAGAAGGAGAGAGAGAAAGGAGCAATGAGATTAGAGCATTGTCCAATAATAGTAAAAAAGAAGAATAAGAATAAGAATCATTGAAATCTGCTATAAAAAGCAAAAAAATACACATTGATTTCTCCTTTATAGAGTGAAAATGGTTGTTATATCAATACAATTTAGTGACACCACATGGTACAACCCTTCCCTCTTCAAAAACAGACGCAGGAACTTCTGACACAAACATGTCCCCGCCCCTTCTGTCTAAAAGTTCTCGTCTCAAACCCATAGACCGAATTTTAGCACTGGTAGCCTTAATGCGGTAGAGGCCGATTGGAACCTTCAGATAGCTAGTGCTAATCTCCTTATATGGGCATTTCTGGTCGTTCTGGTTAATATCTTATAAGATAAGTCCCTGACATAGATGTTTTGTCCCTTTTTCCAGTCGCACAATGCTACTACAAAGGCTCCTCATTCCCTTAAGCTGTGACAGGATGTGGCTTGTTCACTGTAGACTTTATACCAAAGACTCCGGAAACAGGACGGCACGACATCGGCCTCTACACAATACTCAGACAGGCAGTAACAGAACATACGTGACTGAAAAGGGTAATAATAATAACAATGATAATAATAGAAATGAATAATGAGGTTTGATGGCCAGACAATGATACTTACGGGTACATGGGCTTCAAGAGCAGATGGGATGGTTTCTCATTGACATGGTATAGAGGGAATGGGTCAAATCCACCAATAAAATCAACTGAAAGAATATGAGGAAAATAAAGACAAACATAAAAAAATGAAAATTACAATAAGAATGGGAATGAGAATGTTTGATATCCATCCTTTATAATACATACAACAGAAAGAGTCAAACAAAAGTTGTGTAAAGAAATAATAACACCATATACTGTCTCTCAATTGTATTAGAAATCATTTTATATGTTGTATTCTTGAAAGAGAGAGCCCTTCGAGAACATTTGAGTTTATTATTAATGTGAAATCAACCTAATGTTTGTTAAATAAGCTTTTTTAAGCGGGAATGTGGCCAATGGATATATTTACTCTCTCCTTAACGTCATGGGATGTGTTTTGTTTGAAAAACATTGCTGCTGTTTCAAGGAAGACTTTTTGTCATAAAAGTAAGCCTTGCAGCTTTAGAGGTTGCACAAAAGCCCCAAAAGACAAAGTCGTAAGAGCAGAGCGCGTCACGCTTGTCCGCTTCAATGACAGGAGGCCAATACGATTAGGTGAACTGTCCAGATGCAAGACGGGACAAAAACAAGCAAAAAAACAAGTTTGCGGCGGAAAGTAAACTCTATTTGAAAGACATAGAAAGAAACTGGGGAAAATCTGACAAAAGCGACAAAGGCCAAATCAATGACATCCTGATAAGCAGGTGTGGGCTGTGGAGATATGAGCAGGAAGCCAGCGCGCCACACGTCCCGTAGGAAAGACCCCAAAGTTTGACCTCAGACTGTTTGATGCTACGGTTTATCTGCCGACCAGAACACACCTCAAAGGGACCAGAATGGAACTTTCCTATCAATCAATCAATCAATCTTTATTTATAGGGCGCTTTTCCTGCACAGGGCAACACAAAGCGCCTCACAGTCCACACCACACAATGCACAAATCATCACCATTAAAATACAATTAAAAACACATATGTAATTAAAAAGCATTAAAATCACATAAGTAATTTAAAAACATAAGAATCACACAAGTAATTAAAAACAATAAAATAGTAAAAAACACAAAAAGTTACAACAATAAATAACAAGGTGTGTTAAAACGATAAAATTCTCTAGTTGTATGCACAGGAAAAAAGAAAAGTCTTTAACATGGATTTGAACATTAACAGAGAGGCAGCCAGTCTCACATCCTCAGGAAGACTGTTCCAGACTTTAGCTGCATAGATCTGAAAAGCAGCCTCCCCCTGTCTAGTCCTGACTCTGGGCACTAACAAGAGTCCCGTCCCTGCGCTCCTCAGAGTCCGGGCTGGTTCATATGGGACTAGCATATCATGGATGTACTTTGGTGCAAGGCCATGGAGAGACTTGTACACCAGGAGAGCTGCTTTAAAGTCTATCCTCTGGGCCACGGGAAGCCAGTGCAGAGACCTGAGGACCGGACTAATGTGGTCGTACTTCCTGGTTCTAGTCAGGACTCGGGCTGCAGCATTTTGAATATACTGCAGCTGTTTTACTGCATGTTTGGAGATACATGTGAGCAGGCCATTGCAGTAATCCAGCCTACTGGAAACAAAAGAATGGATAAGAATCTCCAAGTCTGCCCTGGACACAATATTTTTAATTTTGGCAATATTTTTCAGATGATAAAAAGCTGCTGATGTTACCGATCCAATGTGGCTATTGAAGTTTAAGTCAGAGTCCATTATTACTCCCAGATTTCTGACCTTATTTAAAGGCCTTAGGGAGAGAGACTGAAGGTGACAAATGACGGTCTCTCTTTGTTTCTCGGGACCAAAGACAATCATTTCGGTTTTGTCCGCATTTAGCTGGAGAAAATTGCATTGCATCCACTCACTGATCCGCTGGATACAGTGAAGGAGTGAGTCCACTGGTCCATGTTCTCCTGCAGTCAGTGAGACATAGATCTGAGTGTCATCAGCGTAATTGTGGTAGGACACTTTCATACTTTGAATTAACTGACCTAATGGCAGCATGTAAATATTGAACAGAAGAGGTCCCAGAATCGACCCCTGTGGCACTCCGCAGGTCAGGGCCATATTATCTGAGACATAGTCTCCAATCTCCACACAATACTTCCTTTCTTCTAGATAGGACCTAAACCAGCTTAGGGCGGTACCAGCAACACCAACCCAGTCCTCCAGTCTCTGCATGAGAATCTCATGGTCAACGGTGTCGAAAGCGGCACTCAGATCTAACATGACTAAAACAGAGACTTTTCCTGCATCAGTGTTAAGCCGAATATCATTTGTTACCTTGACTAGAGCGGTCTCAGTACTGTGGTGTGGTCTAAAGCCAGACTGAAACATGTCAAATGAGTCATTAGATATTAAAAATTCAGTAAGTTGTTGGTAGGCAACTTTTTCAAGAATTTTTCCCATGAATGGCAGATTTGAGATGGGACGGTAATTTTCAAGTACCGCAGCATCCAAACTGCTCTTTTTTAGGAGGGGCCTGATGACTGCCTTTTTCAGGGCCATTGGAAATGTTCCAGATAAAAAAGACATGTTTACTATTTGTGTCAATGAGGGAATAGACTACACATAACAGACTTCAGGAATCTAGGAGGTAGTACATCCAGACTGCAGGTAGAGGAACTAAGACCTGTGATTATCTTTTTAACAGTTTCATCATTGACAGGTGCAAATTGAGCTAGCTCACAAAGCCTCACTGGATGTTGCATTGTTACTTGTGTTGTGGAGGTGATGGTATTTCTGATACCCTGAACCTTGTCTCTGAAGAACTGTGCAAACTCATTACACCTGGATTTGGAGTAGTGTTCTAATGGCAACTCAACAGGGGGGTTCGTTAATCTATTGATTGTTGAAAATAGAACATGCAG